TGTATGTGTAGACTCAAAATGGGAAGACATGAGAAGAGGTTGGCTTCAGACAACTGAACCATCTCAGCTTAAAGGACGAATTCACGATGAAAAAGCAACCCATTTCAAATTAACCTAGGGATGGTGAGTGGTACACGAAAGAAGGAAGAACCATGAGAAACGGCCCAGAACCCGAGAAATGGGACCCCTTCCTTGCCCGTTGATTTGAGCATTGATGCGACTCTCATCGCTGTGCCCTCTTCAACACTACGCTCTCTCTGCTATCTAATCACTCGCCACGTATAGACCTGCGGCGAGTGATCAGATGATCGGTGGGCGTGCACTGGCCCACCGCGCCAAGATTGAGCCTTAATAGGTCGCCGAGGTCAACTCCTTCGGTGCCAATTGCGCTTCAGTCCGCACCCTTAGGAGGTCCGCGGGTCCCTCAACTAGGTGAATTACTCCTTCGACTTTCATTCTAATCGTGAATTCGTCTTATCGTGCTAATAACATCGTTCATCGAACAGCATAGCGGATACTGGTCGACTTCAACGAGATAGAATCAAGGGGTTAAGGCAGCATGGTTCTGGAAGTCCAGCAAGCCATAAAGCGGAAGAAGGAAGCATACAAGCGCTGAAAAAAACACGGAACCTGAGTATCGCAGCTTTGCGATCAATGGCATCGGAATTGCGCAACACGCCGACGTTACCGCTTATCGTTTCATCACCGCGCAACCAGGCTTATACAAAAGCGGCGGAGGGGGCGTGGCCTCGTAAAACGCTCTTTTTCTTCGGGGATTTCTCTCCTGGAAACCCCTTCCTTTCCATATCTGGGGACAATTCGTAGTTCATTCATGTTCCAGGTCTAGTTCATGGTTTTCTACCGCGTAGGTTCTGCTTTATAATCATAGTTCAGCTTCTGCTTTCTGGTGCCTATTTTTATAAGGGTTTTCCTCTGTAAGGTCGAATTAAGCCTTGATTTCATCGTATTCACTTGAATGAGATTATCAGAGCCTCAATAGCTTCACTATGTATGAGCATTCGTAGTTCACTCTTATTCATTCGTAGTTCACTTAATATTTTTGCATCTCTCGTACAATATGTGAATTTTATGATGTTTTTCGTACATTTCACTTTTGATCTACTCGATTATCGTTTAATTACCCAAGTTTGAGGTTCTGGCGAGACGATTTGTTGGTGGATAAAATTATAGTGGACTTGTATACTGCAGTTGCAAAAGATCGTATTCGCGTGGCAGTATTTGAGATATCTTTGAAGAACAACCACTGAACCGCCTTACTGAGCATCTCACAGTCTACGAGAGTTGCAAGGGGCTTGCTAAGGCAGTCAAGGCAAAGAATACGGGAATGGACGAGAGACTGGAGCGCCGAAACGCAGAGAAGTTCGTCTTCAGACTGGCCAAAGCCCGGCATCGGGCTACCCAAGATATCAGGGTGGTGAAGAGCGTAAAGAGCAACAACGGTGCCATCCTGAGGAAGCCAGCCGAAGTCAGGAGGAGGTGGGAGGAGTACTACAGGCACTTCTGAACGAGGAGTTCCCCCACAAAGACAGCTCGTAAGCAGAGGCGAAGGCTGGAGAACAAAAACTATCGTCCCCATCTTCAAGCAGAAGGGTGACGCGATGGACTGCTCCAACTACCGCGGGATCAAGTTGACTGCTCATACAATGAAGCTGTACGAGCGACTGGTCGACTCGAAACTGCGGGAGCTGGTCCCGATCTCCCAGGAACAGTTCGGGTTCATGACTAAAAGTCGACTACGGATGCCATCTTAAAGGCAAGCTTCGGGATAAAATGGGTGTGAAAAAGCGTTCAGTTATGAATCTAGAGGTGGGAGATGGTTGAAAAAGGAAAAAAAAGCAAAGGAAACCCACCGATTACGCCTGAGCAGGCACCTCCTCTCTTTCAGCCGCAATCCAGTTGGAGGAGTTTTCAAGAACATAGCTTCTGTTGCTCCAGTGCCAATGACATTGCGCGCAATGGACCGCTGCCTCAATGCGCCCGCGCTTTTCAAGCAGCGTCACGTGGCAACCGACAGCGGAGGGCGGGGCTTGCGGACAAAGGTGTGAGTTGCGGGTCGGACGAGCTTTTAGCGCCCTTGTCGCGCACTTTCAAGCCGCGAAAGGGGCGCAATGTCAACGCTTGAACTCTTGTCCGCCCGTCTCTTGATCCTGGATGAGAGCAACTAATCCCGGAGCGTCCCTTTAATCGATAGGCCGTGATCGAAAAGTATCGAGAAAAGCATCGACCGTGCCACCCAGCCTTCTTCCACCGGAACATCTGATCTCGCTGGTTAAGAATACGTATGAGGGGCTAAGGCACCACACATGGCCTATCAGAAGAGGTAAGCATCGCGGTTCAATTCGGACCCGTTTTTCTCTTATAATACTAGATGTATCATAGGGGACTCATGGAGGACCACTGAAGACCATCCTCTACGCTGACGACATCGCCTTGATAGCGGATAGCAGAGAAGAACTTCAGGCCAAGGTGCAGAAATGGCAGAAAGTCCTGGCAGAAGGTGGGCTCCGGCTGAATGTCAAGAAGACCAAGTTCCTGAGCTCCGAAGAGGGTGCAGAGCCGATCGTGGACGGCATGGAGAAACCATCGAAAGAGAGGAGGACTTCCGATACCGCCGACTGCGGTGTGGACCAAGAAATGGCTCAGATCAACGTTGCTGGAATTGAATGGAGAGAGTCCAGTGGGATCGCCTGGAGCCACAGTACGCTCAAAGGAAGGAGTACCGGACAGTGGTAAGTCTGCGATGCTATACAGCGGTGAGTGCTAGTCCTTGAACAAGAACCATGAAATGCAGAATTCTTTGCTGACCAGGAAAGGTCATTAGGCCAACCTGGCCAAATGAAAAGAGGTGCACATTTCTGTAAGCATGAGACGCTGAGCTCAAATCTGTTTTCGTTATCTGCTGAACTACCTTTTGAGAAATTTACGGAGGGTTGTAGTTGCCGCCGCTTGATTTTCAGTGTCTTGCCAGATACATGCCACGATAACATTAAAAAAACGGCGTTGTGAAAGCGCTCTACCCTGAACAATTTTTCCGGTTCGAGGAAAAATTATCATCTGAAAGGAAAATATTGCTTTGTTACAATCCAATGCATACATCGTTAAGTTCGCTAGAACAGTAGACAAGTCGCATGTTTAATGAGAATCGTACAGAAATTTTTCACGGAAATTATGTCAAAGCATTTGATTGATCTGTTGCAAACCGCCGATTTCGCAAAACATCAGGTCCGGCATTGCTTAAGGCATAACACTGAAAAATACTCACTTTCGTTGGCCTCGATTTCAATGTTCGGTGCCTTCACCCATGAAACTACTGGCTCGGGAATTCCTGTTACATTGCAAGCAAGAATCGCGGTTTTACGTGGATGAACAGTGAATTCCATTTTGTCCGGTTGAACTGCAGGTGCACCTAAAACAGTTTCAATCAACAATGAGAAACTGTCCACAGATCACGTCAACTTGAAATTTCTGCCTTTTTGTGCAGTGGAGCAAATATCAGTCATAATTTGTCTAATGTAATGAACAATAGTGAACAATATCGTCTTTGGAAAGCGCTTCAAGCTAAATACAAGCATTATATCGCAGCGTTGTCCTCCTCTCACTTAATCGGACAGGCTCAGCATCACGACCATTTAGCTCTATCATCGGAGGTTTACGCGTACCCACATACATATAGAAATTCTGCTAATTATGACCATGGAAGAGACAACAACATAGTATTATATATTTGGGAAGTGAAGTCATCACCAATGAAGCTTCTCAATTTGCTGCAAATTGCAACAAGAGATTAAATAAACTTTGTATATGGTTAACTGAAGTTTTTCCTTCTTTTCTCTAGCTGATCAGTTTTTTATGTTTACATTTTTCTGCGTTCAAACGTCTTATCATATTCATCTTTAGGCTATGCTTACATACTATCCGCTTGCCGACGTCTCCGCCTGCATAAAAGCCCCCCGACCAGAACACGGCAGTTCAGTCTCCTGCGGTCCCGAGCAAGACATAAGACCGGATTACGCCCTGTCGCTACTTTCCTCAAGATCGGACCAGGAATCCCCGGACCTAAGATTGGATCAATACCCGAGGGGTAAGCAAGAGCGGAACGCCTCTAGTTAACCGTGCAATAAATATTGCATAATATTTATTGGTTTAGCAGACGCAAGAAAACCGCGTGCCAGCTAAGGCTGTGAAGG